CTCCCCACCCTGCCCCGATTCCTCTAGGCATGAAAAGTTTGTTTTCTGTGAAGCTACCTCTTATTTGCAAGTCAGCTAACACGTTTATTTTATTTAAGTTTTGTGTAGTTAAAAGTCTCAAGGATTATACACCAAAATCTAAATAACAGCTAATAAATCTACAGGTAATTTTAATTTTCCTGTTCATACTTTTTTTTGTGTTTTTCAACGTATCTGCAATAAATGTGTAAAGTACATAGTCATAAAAATTAATGTATTTTATAAAACACAATCATAGATGATATGAGACAGTAGTTTCCAAAGAGTCAGGAGGATGCATTGTACAAACAAGAGACAGAAGCATTGAATACCAGGAGGTCAGGTGTGTCCTTGGGCATTTCTCAGTCCCTTTTCCATTTGGTGAATCCTTCACCTATCACTAATTACTGTCTTTCAAATTATATTTTAGCCACAGGCCCTTTCTTCAAACAAAAATGTAGAGATGTACAGTATATTGAGCAAATACTACAGGTGCTTCCTAAAGGGTTAAACTGTGGGTGCTGATTGAAGTGGAGATGGGAACCTGGACCCCCACCCACTAACTCACCATCCCACCTAGAGACCACTCCCAGGCGTGTCTGGAACCCCTGGCTCTGGTGAGCACAGTTCTCCACGAAGCCATTGATTGGTCCTCCTCACTCGGGATACTTGAACTGCTTCACATTTCCAGAGGCTGTGCAGACAAGGACCTCTATAAAGCTCATTAAATGTTATGTAAAATACTGATTTCCTTCGTTTGCCCTCAGGTTTTCTGCTGATCTTTTTCACATCAAAACCAATACACATGACTAATCCATCTTATAACTGAGTAGTTATTCTAGCCAGAAAGCCTTATCATCGTAGAGGTGGCCTTTAGCTCAAAAGGAAAAGAGAAAGATTTGTTTGCTTATGCTTCTCTCTGAACTCCCTACTTTTCTTCCCAAAGGTTAACAAATCCAGTTTGCTTATTATTTTTTATTTATTTATTTATTTATTTATTCACCAAGCTGATGGGTGGAATATTTGGTACTTGTGATTCATGGTCTGAAACTCTCTGCTCTCTTGACTTGTATGATGTCCTGTTCAACTGCTTTTCTTCCTCATATTATTTTCTTCTCTGCTTCATTTGCTAACAGTTCGGTGGGGTTTTTGGCATTCAGTGCTCTGTCTCTGGGCAAGTGATTTCTTCTTGCTTCTCTCTCCAGACAACTAATGCGTGCCCAGGGTCCAGTGATCACTGCGTTGTGGGTGGTGGTTGAGTGAGAGTATGCTTCAGTCTCTCATGCAGGGCCAGTGTGTTAGCTCCAGTGTGTAGTGATAGTTCTACCTTGAGCTAATATTAATTCTTTAAAGTTGGTATACCTGACTCCAGAATCATATTATTGCCATTATTTCTTGTCCCAACATCTCCATTCTGCCAGCAGCAACTCTATTCTCCCAGTCACCAAACTTGAAATTTTATTATTTATAACTTAGTTCCTAAATATATTAGATTTTACATTCAAAACTTCTCTTAGGTGTCTCTTTGCTTAGTGCTTCATGTCATAGAATTTTAGAACACAAAGCTTTCATACCACATAGTTTTTAATCAATAAATATGTTTTTTTAAAAATGTATTTTTATTGATTTCAGAGAGGAATGGAGAGAGAGAGAGAGAAACATCAATGATGAGAGAAAATCATTGATTGGCTGCCTCCTGCATACCCGCTACTGGGGATCGAGCCTGCAACCTGGGTATGTTCCCTGACTAGGAATCAAACTTTAACCTCCTAGTTCATAGGTTGACACTCAACCACTGAGCCACACCAGCTGGGCAATAAGTATTTCTTAAATCTGGATCTAATCCAACTGCCTCAGAGAAATTCTAAAAGTTTGTTAACATTCTAAGTAATCTCTGCCTCCTATCCCTCATCTTGATAGTCTTATCTCATACACTGTGGATTTAATCCTGAAAACACCAGTTGAAGTTAGGAAAGCAGTTAACTTGGGGAGAGGAGGTTTTTGCAGGCCTAGTAATGTTCTCTTTCTTGAGTGGGCTGGTGTTTACAAGGGAGAGTCCACTCTTTGTCAAGCGAGATTTGTGCACATTTTTCTATGAGTGTTATTTTAAAATGTTTTAAAGCAGTCTTAGGATTGACACAGAAAAAGAAAGATATGATTGCTGGTCAAATGATTTTTTTTTTTAAGCTATAGATTCTCTCTCAAATTTTTAGAGAGGTAGAAAATTTAAATTCTGAAAGTATCAGAGAGGATGTGAAGAAATAGGGACATTACTGGTAGGCGGGCCAATCAGTACATGTTGTGAAGTTGGAAATGTGTGCACCTTGCAACTAGACCAGCGGTTCTCAACCGGTGGGTTACGAGCCCTTTGGCGGTCGAACGACCCTTTCACAGGGGTCACCTAAGACCATCCTGCATATCAGATATTTATATTACAATTCATAACAGTAGCAATATTACAGTTATGAAGTAGCAACGAAAATAATTTTATGGTTGGGTCACAACATGAGGAACTGTATTTAAAGGGCCAGAAGGTTGAGAACCACTTGAACTAGACAGTTCTGCCAGGCACACACCCAGAGCCCGTATGCATAAGGAGCTGTGGGCAACATGTTCCCTGCAGGATAGCTTATAATAGGAAAAAGCAAAAGTGAAGGAACCTAAGAGCCCCTCACAGGTTAAATAAAATGTGTTTTTTATATAGTGAAATGTTAAACAGTTAAATACATATGCGTTTATAATAGGGCTCTAAAAATACTATTGTGGGTGAACAACAGATGCAGAATATGTATAGCTTTACACACACATGCATTTTTAAAGTATCAAACAGTACTATATTATTCCTTGACACATATTTATGTTAACGTATTTTTAAACAGCTGAAGGAAACACTGTACACTTCCAGGGTGAAGCAGGAGCCTCTGGGGAGTGGGTGAGGGTCTGGGATTGAGGATGGGGACAAAGGAAACTGTCACTTCATCTTCATTGTCCTGTTTCTTTAATTAAAAAATAAAAAGCAAATGTGACTGAATGCTAACATCTGTTCATTCTGGGTGACAGCTCACAGGGTACTAGCTATACTATTTCTAGTAATTTTTCCTTTGTTTAATTTCTAAAAATGAAAAATTCATTGAGATAACAGCATCTTTCATCATTTAGTCTTATTTATTGTTTGGGTATTTTATGTTCCTATTTGTTTTAAGAAAAAAAAAGTATGTAAATATAAGTATAGCTGAGATAGCCGAATTTCCTTTTTGTTGTTGCTGTTTATGTTCCACAAAGCAAACTTGTGTTATTTAACATTCTTTGGTATCAAAACGTGGCCGCCATGCAGACTTGTGAGGAGTAAATCATGAGGGCTGCAGTTCACCACAGTCTGTCTATTAACAACCACTTCCTGTGATCCACCTCCTCAAGCTATTGGAGCCAAAACAGCCACAAGCAAACAGAATGAAGAAGTCAGAAAGATTTCCTTTGGTGCTAATGGCTTGTTGGTATGCAGTTGTTAGGACTGAAGGTCTAAAACCACCCATGTTGATTGGCTCAGTCTCCAAGATGTCTTCAGGGTCATTTCCACAAGACTGGCAAAAGAATGGGACCCTGCCTTTCCCAACACTTCTGCCTGCAGCCCTGAGCAGCACAGAAGTCTGCTCTGGCAGGGAGCAGGGCGCCCTCAAAGTCCATGCACCAGATGGACAGATGGACCAACCACGGGCACAGGCTTATCACAGGCTAATACGGCCATTAGTCACTGGGCGGGTGGTCTGGCCGTCTTTGGACGTGCACCCAAGGTGATTGCTGTGACCATGTTTGAAAAGTTAACAGATAAATGTGGACTTAGACTAAATATTATACAGTTAGGCCCTAAGTTGAGGCTTTTAAACATAGACAGGTAAGAGGAGGTGGGGGCCTTCATACCTTGCCCTCCAGGATCATCAACTGGAGGTGAACTTGGGTCTCTCTGGACCTTACTCCTCACCCCCATAAGCAGGTGAAAGAGGGAGTTCTCCTACAGAAGGAACTAAGCTTGCTCAAGTCAGAGCCTTTGTCTGTGGGTATCTGGAAGCACCCTGGTCTGCTCTGAGCTGTGCATCCCGGGGGAGCCTGGTGGGTGTCCAGCGAGACCAGTGCTGGGTGGCTTAGCTTCCTAAGTCAGGGGCCAGTTATTAGCAAGGCTTCCCTGTCACAGATCTGAACCTGTGTTCTCACCAGTCAAGTTTATCAGAAACAAAAGCAATATTTTCAGCTTCGTCTGTTTGGCCTCTACCTCAATTGGTTCCAAACTCAAAAGGGGAAGAGGGACAGGTATTCATTGCTCTCCTCAAAAACCTATTGATCAATTAATATAAGACCTCAAGATGATAAATTAATGTCCTCCACAATACCAGCCAATAATTTGTGTATCAAATTTATTCCTACACCCATAATTATCCTGTCTGAATGGTTAGTTGAGCACTGCTCAATTACTTTTAGATTTCATACCTGTGGTTAAAAAATTAATATATGTACTATTTATCATTGCATGCTTGACCTCGCATAGCTTGAAATAGACTCCATTAAAATGTGCATTTTATGGTGTATTATATTCTCTCCCTAGGTATAAGTTTACACAGAAAATGTATTTATTTAATTCAGTCATTTAACAGCATAAGCAAAACACACAAACAACCCAGCATGCTGTAACAGAACACTGTTCTGCACATGGCCAGCTGTGCGTTGGCAGAACGCAGTGATTTTAAGGATGAATTAGTATTCTAATCTCTTTGGGATTTCTTTTATATTCGTGGTGGTTTATGACTGACGTTTAATGTAACTTTGGCTCTGTTTATACTTAATAGAAGATTCATTTCTGTGGCAGGATACACATTTACACTCCAGTGTTGAATAAAAGCTACTGTTCTGCAAGAAGGAAATAAAATGTTGATTTATAATGACACATTCCGATAGCAGTGATCTAATTCTCCCCAACTATTTCTTCCCAGGTCCTGGGAACAGCACGGCTCCAGCAAAGGGTGACTCTTCTCTTCCAGAATATTCAGCCTTCAACACATCTGTCCATGCTGCAATTCGACACAGAAGCTGGAAACTCCTCACGGGCTATCCAGGTAGAATGCTCAGCACTCTCCGTAATGGAACAACTCATAACTCTGGGGCTGTTGAATGAGGGGGCGGGGAGTGGTGGGATCTACTACTAATCCTGACCCCTCACCCCCAAAAAGCTAAGAATTAACTGTAGGAGGAATAAAGGGAAGAAATGCCACTCTAGTGCTTCAGGGAAAATAAGGATTTCAGATACACGTGGTTCTCAAGCACAACAAAGAGAACCTCTGAGAGCTACATCCTCAACCCACTGTGTAGCTGGGGGAGGAGGCTGCTTCCCCTGAGCACCTTCTCTAACAGCGACAGCTGTGAAGGACTTGTTGAGTATGTGGCATGATGGTTAAGGTCATGATGCGATTAAGCAGTGTGTATAATGAGGACATTCTTGGCGACTATGGCAAGACAATGCTTCATTGTTTGGGACTGCACCATGTGTTGCAAGACATTTTAGCATCCCTGGCCCATGACCACTAAATACCAAGTCATGTGACAAATACCCCCCCCCACACACACACACACATACACACACGCATGCATTCATCTTTCTGGACGCCCCTGGGTGTGAAGCAGTGAGACATGTCTCATTAAAGCACCAGACGTCCGAGTCTTCGGTCCAGACACAGCATCAAGGGCCCTGTCTTTTTCATGTGTCCATGCCCACAACCCAGCTCAGCTTTGTCCCCCGGGTACCCTCCATGAAATTAGAACTGACCTACCATGTCTCTCTTCAATAAACCGTTATATTTCTTTGCCAGGCTGTGGTCACTGGTTCCCTCCACCATCACAATACAATGTTTCTGAGATACCCTCATCGGACCCACCAGGCAAGACCCTCTGGCTCTTTGATATTGATCGGGACCCAGAAGAAAGACATGACCTGTCCAGGGAGTATCCCCATGTGGTCAAGCAGCTCCTTTCCCGGCTACAGTTCTACCACAAACACTCAGTGCCCGTGTTCTACCCGGATCAGGACCCCCGCTGTGACCCCAAGAGCACTGGGGCTTGGGGCCCTTGGATGTAGGATCTGGGGCAGCCTTGGGTGGGTCGCTAGAAAGCCTTTCTGTTGCAAGTTGGACTTCAGACTCTACTCGTGTGTCTCATTTGTTCTCCCAATGGCTTCACCTAGTCCTTCTTTTGCCCCTAAACCACATTAACGTGATTGTCTCATTTCAACCCCTTGTGCATTTAAGAAGACGATAAAATCTGGAACCCTCCCGCTGTTGGCTGGGGTGTGTGTGTCTAGAGGAGAGGGTGATTGGGTTCATCCCCTTTTTCCGGAGCCGTGGGTCCGCTGGGAACTTGATTTGAAATAGGAAGTTAGTGAGTCCTGGAGGCCGGAGCAGCTGGCTCCTTTTGCCTCACAAGTCAGATGTTAGGTTTCCTTCTGCCAATAGCCAGCTTTTATTGGCGTGACTCACATTTCTTGTAACAAATGAAGGGAGCAGACAATTGTTAATGGCTCTGTTGGCCAGGGGGTCTCCCTGTCTGGGAGAGATCATGTTCAGACGTTCCATGTGAATACGCGCCTTGGTCACCCTCGCTCACACACCTCATCACTCAGCCCGTCCTGGAGCATAAGGCCCATTTCACTGGTAAGGTCAGTATGGCAACATGCCTACTCCTTGGTTCTGCTTTTTACAATAAAGAACTGTGTTTTTAGCCCCAACTTCCCCCCAGCCATTGCTCATTTTGTCTAGACTTCCTGCTACCCGCAGATCCCCCCTGGTTTTTTCCTCCCCTTCCCTGTGACTCAGGCGTCCTGTGCCTGAGAAGGCTGCCTTGCTTCTCCACTCTGAGCACCACTGGTTTGGGGAACACTGAGCTCTGCCTTCCTTTTGCCCCAACACCCAAGTGAGAGCCCTGCCAGAGAAGGCGGCCCGCCCGGCTCTGTGAGTTCATGGTAGACACGAAGAGGCCTGGGTGGGCAAGGCTTGGGTCTGGGTCATCTGTCTGGTGAGCACTTTTCTAGTTACATGGAGTTTATTATCATGACTATGGCTTCGTCTCATAATGTAGGATGAGTGCACTGACAGCTATTCCCCGGCAGTGAGGAAAAGCCCCAGGAAAGGGCACTATTTTTCAAGATGATGGAAGTGGGCAATTTAAAAAAGGAAATGGCCAGCATCTGGGATTCTGGGCCTTGAGAAAGCCAGGAGGGCACATTCATATTTCTCTTATTCTCCCAGTCTCGCTGCTTTTATTGAGGTTCTGGGGTGAGGGGCAGGATGCACAGTGTGACCTGCCAGCCCTTTCTCAGTCCCACTAATATCCTACTGACATGCATCGGTCCAGATTAGCTCCAAAGAGTATCAGACTCAGAGAAATGTGTGCAAAAATTATACCTTTTTTTGCATTAGCTCCACTGTTTCATTTGCTGCTTATCACCAGTGCCTGGTACATAGAAGGCACTCAATACACTTTTAAAAAAATAAATGAGTGAATGAATGAATGAGCAAATGAGAAAGTCTCACACCATGAAAGGTGATAGTCCAATGAGTTGAATACAGGGATAATATAAATATCTTCCAACCATTGATTTTCTGTTCTCAAGCTGCCTCGTTGGGTAGGAGCACAGTCTGCACATCTGGGCAGTCATTTAACACGCCATAGTAAAGTTGTAATGTCCGCTGGGGTAGGGGTGGAATGTGCCTGCCAAAGGTACTGTTCGTTTCCCAGTAATCCTCAGTTCTATTTATTCTTCGTAGGACACTAGAAACAAAACCACCAACTAATATGCTAGGTTCCTTCCATTCAGTAGCTGTGTTTTCTGGTCGCTACCAACTTGGATTGTATTAAAATAGGATGATTGGAAGGAAATGGTGCTAGAACTAATGACACCCATTACCAGCCTATTCCACACTCCTGGGTTGGCACACAGCCGGCCAAAATACTATTACCTCTCCCGAGCCTGTGGCAGATTTATGAACTAACTGAGCCCAGATATTCCTTCTGGATCCTTCTAATCCCAGCGCTATAGGTACCATTAATACTTTAAGGTTGGAGGCATCACTAGATGACCTCTCTTACTCTCCCGGCAGCTGTCCCCGATTCTGGCTTCTTGGTTGCTATGTACAGTGTGCACATTCGGCACTCAGGACTTAAAGGGAATTTTAAAGATTAATTTTCTGTAACACTTTTATCTGAGATTTTATTTTATCCATAATAGAATGCATTAGATTTTTTTTTCTGTACCAGACTGTGAACAGATTCATATGTTTTCATTAGAAGTATTAATGTCATTTCTTTTTAATTTGTTTATGTTTAAAGAAAGGTTTTGTTTAACTGTTTTTCCTTGTTACTTCACAATTGTCCCACATATGGGGGAACAAAAAGAATAAATTATCTTTTAGAACGTGTCAGCCGTGAGTGTGGAATTTCTATTTGTACGATAAAAAATTTCTGGAACTAAATAGAGGTGATGGTTGCACAACATCATCAATGTACTTAATGCCTCTGAATTGTACATTTTAAAATGGTTAAAATGATAAATTTTAAGTTATTTCATTTTTATCCCAATTTTTTTAATTTTTATTTATTTTATTATTCTTTTAATATATTTTTATTGATTTCAGAGAGGAAAGGAGAGGGAGAGAAAGACAGAAACATCAATGATGAGAGAGAATCATTGATTGGCTGCCTCCTGCATGCCCCCTACTGGGGATGAGCCTGCAACTTGGGCATGTGCCCTGAACCAGAATCGAACCCAGGATCCTTCAGTCCACAGGCTGAGGCTCTATCCACTAAGCCAAACCAGCAAGGGCTTATCCCAGTTTTTTAAATGTGTTGGCCCGTTTTTATTCTTTCCCAATCAACTCTTAAACTTTAAAATCTATTTTTTCTAATAGCTATCACTTGTGTAGGTTTGATTTCAGGCTGTTGAAAGACCAGCCTGCCCACCTGTGACCACCCTTACCAGTTGCTGAGAGCAGGTATGTTCAGTCAGTGTTGAGGTACCTCCCACAGCTCTTTCACCTTTGCTCTGTTGCCATAGGAGCCACCCATCGGGTGACACAAGGAAGAAGAGGGTGACTCAGACTGCCCTGGGCCCGGCCTCAGAACCTTGTGACCATCAGGAGAGGCGATTTCGTTCTCAAACTAATTCACCCAAGTAATCAATCATTGAGCTTAAGGTATTTCATTTAATAACCTTTGTCATTCTAACAATAGAGATAATAATGTCTCTAACAATTTTTAAAAATACAGAACACCATAAAAGAAAATTAAACACTTTGTAAGCTACCCCCCAGATAGCCACTATAAACCTCTTACACCCTTTTAAGAGAAGAATGAAGGGGCCCACTTTCCAGACTGGTTTTCATATCCCACTGTGCCCAGCTGAGCCCTCATTGGAGACTCAAGATGGTAGATAAATAAAATCTCACCTCTTCTGGAAATCTTCATTTTAATCCCATTATTAAACATGGATGTCCCCAGGATTTTTACTCCAAGGGCTCATGGTTTCGCATACACTCTCACACACACATTCTCTCCCTTCCTCGCTCCCTCTCCATGGGCCTTAAGACCGAGCCTGGGCACTGAGGAGCCAGCTTGCAAACAAGCCAGTAAGCAGGCACCTGCCTCTTGTTCACATCACACCAGAGCCTTGCAGAGCAGGGCAGAGTCGATACACACACTCCTCCCCTCCTCGGTAAACAGGACTTACTGTGCTTTTATTTACATTAAATAAATCGAAGCTGGGGTTTGCCCTCTCGGCAATCGTTTTGTAGCCAAGATCATTCAAGTGCACTCTGCGTTGGAGGCAAGGACAGGCAGCTGTGCAGTAAGGGGAGGAGGGTGCATGGGATCAGACCCTGCTCCCGGAGGCTCACCCACCAGGGATTTCAGCAGACCGGAGGTCCCCGGACAGGGCAGAGGGGAGGTGGAGAGGCTCAGGAGTCGAGGAACTTCAGCCTGAAGATCCACAGCGGAATGTGTTTACCTGAAATTTTGCTTTTTATTTTTTACACCCATGAGGCTAGTGAGTTCTTTCTGCATAAACTGTTTGCATTAAAGCCTTTGATTAGAGCAGTGGTTCTCAACTTGGCTGCACATTAGAATCACCTGGGAATCTTTTTAAAATCCTGATTTCTGGGCCTCGTCCTCCAGAAACTCTGTTTCTTTGGGGTGGGGCCACCACATTAGTAACAAAGAAACAGAATTTCCGGAGGATGAGGCCCAGAAATCAGGATTTTAAAAAGGTTCCCAGGTGATTCTAATGTGCAGCCAAGGTTGAGAACCACTGGATTAGAGGATACACTGATGGTGTGTGGGAAGCAGCTGTATGGTGTGGACATGTTACTTGGGCTTCACTAAGGTAGCTGTGTTTTCTTGTTCTTAAGCCAGCGCTTGAATGCAAGTGCTTGGGTTTAAGGCGTTACAGGTGATGGATGGATGTGGGCCACATCCAGGACTCTAGGCCGAGGAGCAGGCCCCTCTGAGTGGGACCTGTGTGTGTTCTGTCACTGGGGTTCACAGGTCCTTCTTTCCCCCCAAAAGCTGGTCTCACTCCCTAGGCAGCCAGGGCCAGGAGGACACCCCAGCCATCCCACAGCTCCTCAGGCCCTCTCACTGCCAGAAGACATTGACATTCTTTGCAGAAATAAGTAATTTTAAGGGATGCTGTTTTATCACCTCAGTGAAGGGAAAACTAGTATCATTATAATCATAAAAATACAGTACAGTAACTCCAAATTGCTCCTGAGTTTGAGCTAAGAACTATTCCTGACCTGGAAGGAAAGGAAAAATTTTAAGAGTGAGTCAATTTGTCACTAAATGATTTATTACCACCAGTGCAGAGCTGTGTCTTGGCAACACTGGGGTGGAGATAAGGAAACTCCCTCAGGGCACATGGTCAGTATGTGCTGGGTGGTGCCTCACGGTGACTGGTGACTTCACTCAGCGATCTGATCTGGGTCTGTCCCCATCTGATCTGCCTCTGTCCCCTGCGGGGCTGTTTCCTCCAAGAACCATAGCTGCACTTTTCCCTGAACAGTGTGTTTTGTTCATGTACCTGCAGACCTCAAACCTAGGGACGCATCCAAAATGCTTTAAATGTATAAACACAAGAGGAAATGGACACCCATCTTGGGCAGTGCAGTGGGAAAGTAGCACAGGATCCCACCAAAGGAAGAAGCAGGAAAGTCAACAAACAAGCTGGTGGAGATGCAACATGTAGAGAATAAAAGTTTTGAAGAAAGAAACACTGAGAGGAGGAACACGGAGGTTTCCACTGAATCTTTTTTTAAAATATATTTTTATTGATTTCAGAGAGGAAGGGAGAGAGAGAGAGAGAGAGAGAGAAACATCAATGATGAGAGAGAATCATTGATTGGCTGCCTCCTGCACGGCCCCCACTGGGGACACAGCCGGCAACCCGGGCATGTGCCCTTGACTGGAATCGAACTCAGGACCCTTCAGTCCGCAGGCTGATGCTCTATCCACTGAACCAAACCAGGCAAGGCTCCGCTGAATCTTAAATTCCAAGATTATAGTCGATGGTCCCCTCGCTCATAATGCAGCCCTCCCAGGAGACTCAATGCCTTAGAAATTGCTCCTCCTCTCTTGCCTCACCAGCCAGCTCAATCCCCCGAGATGAGGCCCAAATTCACCACCACCTCTTCGGAGGCTGTAAATGAGCCCATCAGGTATGCCACATCTTGCTAATTACAGGGGCAAGGCAAGGAACCCTCACTGAGGACGTGCTGTACGCTGAACACCATTTGCCTTTTATGATGGCTACCAAACTCTTCACAATCGTATTCACGCATTAGGTAAATGGTTTTTGCGTTTCAGAAATTATGTTGCAGGAAGTCGAGCAGCCAGGAGAGCTGGAAATGGAGCCCAACTTGCTCTTAAAAAGCCCCACTCTCTACTGTGCTCTCCTGCAACCTCCAGTGCTGGGCTTCCTTCCCTTCCCTTTGCCCTGTACCTTTAAGGACAGAGGATAATGTGTAGGAAGTCCTGTTCTTACACCTCAGGAGCCTCGGTGAGTGACCATCCACCTGGCAGAGGCCTGTGCTGGGTGGGGGGCAGGGAGGGCAGTGGGGAGGCAAGTGCAACAGTTTCACCAAGAAGTAATGCCAGCTAAAGAGGTATGGAAACAGGAAAAAGCTCATTGGAGGCTTAGAAATTGAAAAAGAAAAAAAAATTGAAAGTAGTTGGAATTACTCAGCCTGAAAAGGAACTTTATTAATGTTTTTTCTATATCTCATAGGAAAATCGCCTTCCCACATACAGGTCACCGAGGCTGGTGACCATCTGCCCTCGTCCCAGTGACCACAGGCGAATCCGCCAGCACGAGGCTGCTCTGAAGGAGGCGGGGCGAGACTCACAGGTGGGTTCTTAAAGCTCATTGTGGCTTCTGATGCCGGCGCTGGCTTCCCTGGCTTCGGAATGTAATGTCGTGTCTCGTTCTGTAACAGATTGGCATCAACCAGTCTTTAATCTTTAGTTACAATCAGTTTCCATCTTGCTACATCCTGGAGGAGTGGTGTTCCCCTGACTACTCTCATTTACACAAAGTCCACAGGACCTCAGCCACCGTCCGTGTTTGAGGCTCTGAAATGAAGAGGAACACACTCCAGATACCCAGGCTGTCTCTTCAAGTTCTGCTTGTAATGCCTTCTCTCTGGCATTGGGGTGAAAGAAGGTCATGCAGAGGCTAGCCTGCTCACGGGGATTTGTTTCTAAGGGATATTGCTTTGTGAGAGTCTCTCCTTGAAAAGAGGAACAAATAATGACAGTTTAGGTGCAGGCAGCATGTTTTGGTTTAAATGTTACGTAGTTAGAGAGCTCCATATTGGTCAACAGGACCTGGTTAGAGAAATGCTTGGATTTCTGTAGTTGGTTAAACGTTGTTGCCTTAGGTAAAATAGTCCTGTGGCTGAGTCATAGGAATTGTGCCCACAACACGTACTGGTTGAAGGAAAAATGTCAGTGAGAGGAAATTCCCTGCTTCTTACACACCATCTGGGGTGGCTGGTTGGTCTGCTCCTGAAGGCGGGATCTGCGGGTGCTGCGGGGGACTGCACGGCTGTGGGCTGCTGCTGGCTTTCAGGCTCAGTCATCCCAGTGATGACCCCATGCAGACCTCCCTGCTTACCAGGCAGAGCCAAGCCAAGGTCTAGCTCACCATCCCAGTGAGAAGAAACATCCTGTCCTGGGACAGGGATGGCAGAACAGAAACATGAGCAGTTGGTGCCATTAACCAACTTTGATCACTAAGGTTTTGCGCATAACACCATCAGAGAATAGAACTTCACCTTACTTTTATCAGTACTTATTGTTATACTAGAGGCCCGGTGCATGAAATTCATGCACTGGGGGGGGG